TTCAAGCTCGAATACAAAGCTCAATCTAAAGGCATATGTTTGTTGCGATGTGTTTACGTCGGTCAATGCGGAGGGATGTCTTGAAACCCAGGGCGCTTAAGCTCTTTCGGCATCGATTGGCTTTGCCTGCCGGGACAGATGGATGGATGGATGGAATTTATTTCGCCCGGAGGCACTGGGCCTATAGGGCCTTAGCACGCTAACTACATCCGGATCAAATCGTTTTGCCTTTAACTCGTATAAGCCCCCTACTTCTTCCCTCTTTCTCGCTGCACCATTTACCTCTTGCCTTGGTTGTTGTTAGCAGATCAGCTTGGAAGCTACTTTCTCCAAGTGTTCAGCGTCCTATCTTCAGCAGCTAAAGCGGGACCTGCTGCTGCCGGGACAGACCTCGGCCCAGGCCGCCCGAGCCAAGGCCACACCCCACGTGACGCTATCCCTGTGCGGCCCGCATTGAGCCATTCTGCCGCTTGCCACCGCTACTTTTTCCGCCGCCTTGCTTTGTCCAGGCCCCTCAGATGCTCGAACGCGGTCATCCAGCATTTACCAACATCAAAACTTCAATCAAACCACCTTCCACCACGACACGCGTTATCCCACCCGCGCATCCCGCAAACCTACCAAACAACCCCTTATTCCAACCCGAAACAATTACAGAATGTCTCGCGAGGAGTACCAAGTCCCCACCGGCTCCGGCTCGTCAATCGGCGTCGGCGGCTCATCCAGCGCCCCCGCGGCGCGCGACTACGCCAGCGAGGGCGGCGGCACGATGCACTACATCTGCGGCGACTGCTCGTCACGGGTACCGCTGGAGAAGGGCACAGGGATCCGCTGCCAAAAGTGCGGCGCGCGCGTGCTGTACAAGGAACGGACAAAGAGGTAAGGGGGCTCGCTCGCTCGCTCGCCCGGCCTTCTCGGGTGGCGAGTCATTGCTGACCGTTGCTACAGAATGGTGCAGTTCGAAGCGCGTTGATGGGATAGATTTGTGAAGGCCACTGAGTGGATGGTTTCCCTTAGGATGCTGGGACTATACATCTCCGTAGCCCTTTGTCCTCGACTCGTCGGTTAAGAATGGCTCTGGATAGGCCGACACCAAAGCAGGGCAGAGACACCACTTCCCGAAGACGGCTTTTTGGTAATTTGAGAAGCACGTGACAAGAAATACTAATTTCTTGTCCATTTTTGTCTAAATAGAACCCTATCTACCTACCTAATGCTGGTATCACCCAAACGCCAGAATGCTGATGCCAATCTTCAATACAAGAAACACCCTTTAGGCCCAACTACCATTTAACTTTTTTGCGTGTGGAGGTACTTCGCAAAGCTTGCATCCGCGCCGACGGAGTCCTCCTGGGTGCAACATTGAAGCCTCGTATCTCGCCTGAAGGCCCTCTCGATCCTCCTCGTCGTCAAGCTCGTCCTTCGCTTTCCTCGTCTGGGCTGAGCGGTTCTACATCCTTTCTCGTTCGAGTTCGATGTCGCCCGCGGTGTCTGGTTTGCTGCAGCACTTGTGCGAAGACCGGCCGCCCTATAGCCATGCCGGCCATCATCTTGTCCAGCTCTTTCTCCCTCTGCTTCTTCTTGTCAGATTCCCTCTGCTCCCGCCTCCGGTCCAGCTCAGGCTGGTAATCGCGCCTGAACTCATCCGTCTTGTCCTTAACGGCATTAAAGAAGTCGTCGATTCCAGTGCCTTGGATCGCACTGACGTTAACCACGCTGAGATGGCTGTAGAACTCTTCCAACACGAGGCTCATGCTGTTGATGAGGCTACCCATGTATCCGCTTCCGGTGCCGTCCTCTCCACTGAACGCGTTATTGCCCTGCTCCTTGTCTAGCGCTGCCTGGAACGCGTCAAAGTCGGTCATCCACTCTTTCGCGAACGACGCGTCCTCCACATCGGTCTTATTAAACACGATGATCATTGGAAGCTTCGTCTTGTACAGAATACTGCAGGCATAGAGCATGTTGCTCATGAAGGTTGAGGTGGAAGTTATACGCGGGGTATCGACGATATAGGCGATAACCGTTGGGAACGACGACGCGAGGGAGTCGAGAAAGATGGTCCCCGAGGCTGACCATACGAAGGCTTCAATCTGCCCTGGAGTATCAACCAGAATATGCTTAACGGGTTTCCGACTCGGGTTCTCTGGGTCCGGCGTTGCCCTCTTCTCGAGAAGACCGATGAACTGATCTACTTTGGTCGCAAAGAGGTTGAGTGACGTCATGATACCTCCATTTGGTCCCAGGTTGTACTCCTCCATGACCTTCTTGTAGTTTACCGAGTCTCGAATATCGATGTTGCACGGATACGGAGAGTTGGCGACAGCTGGGTCGAGGTTGACGAGATAAGGAGGCTCTTTCTTCGCAAACTGATGGGAACTAATCCGCTGCATGAATGTGGTCTTGCCCGCTCCTAGAGGACGAGGTGAGTGGGAGAGACGGTAGCGAAAAATAGCTGGTCAACATACCTGCCATTCCGATGCAAACAACCACAGTGGGTTGCTCTGTCTGCCCATGTGGGCCAGTCACTGGAGCCGAAGCCGAAGCCGAAGCTGAAGCTGAATCCATTTTGATAAGTGGTGTTCGCGATGTTTTTTTTGGCGTTCACGAGCAATGCCTGGAATTACTGGTTGATGATTGTTATGTGTTGGATGGATGCGGATTGCTGTGTTTAAGTTTGTTGAATGTGATGAAATTCCAGGACGGCGGGGTGAGTTACCTTGGTGGGGCAGCTTTTCCGTCCGCTTGCTGGGTCCGTGACTCCGTGTCAACTAAGGCAGAATTCGCACGTGGCCAACGGGGAGATCTGGGCTGTGGGGCCGCAAAGCGGGTTCCTTGTCCCTCGCTCTCATGTCTGAGGTGCCAGCTTGGGTTGCATCCTTCATGTGCTTGTCACTTGGCGTGCATTTCCTAGTCCAAGGGATCTGAGTTAGTTAACGGCATTTATATGTTGTAAAATAGGAGAACTACTTCATACTTCGTTTCATTCATTGGGGATGACTATTGACGATTTTTTGAGTTACATCGGCTGGCGGTAAACCAAACCCGACCCCGTCTCACGTCATCGAGATCCTGACAAAGGGCTGGTGTGGATGGTGCTTGATTGTTCTCAGTCCTTGGCGACTCAGCCCTTGTTGCGCGGCTGGTGACGGTTCCGAGCAACGACCAACAAGCGGCCTAGAGAGGGCTACCAAGGCCGTCCATTTTACCGCAGCTGCGCCCCCAATAAAGATCTCAGTCTTCCCCTGTTCCTCGCTCCCGATTTTTTTCAGATCATTGTTAGTCCTCCATCGCTGTAATGCCCAACAGATCGTGATTAATCTTTCGACATCTCTGGACTACGAATATATCTTAGCTACCAATACCGACAACGCGCGTCATCTCGCCCCGCATCCTCACATTGAGACACGTCCCCGCTCGCGCTCCGCAGCGCCAACGATTGCATTCGCCATGTTGCGGAAAAAAGACACCTTCACTGTGATCACGCCCATCCCGGGCTTCATCCCTCGCCAGCTGGCCATTGACATCCTCCACTCACACTCTGAGGTCATCACACTGAACCCGCTCGTTATCGGACACAAACCCATTCCCGCGCCACAAAATGCCGAAACAGACGAGTACTACTCTACCTGGTATGAAATCACAGAACGCATCCAAGTTGTCCCCGGGATCGGGAAGGTGGGCGCCTCGACAATTCAGTTCAATGGCTGCTTTCATGATATGCCGTGGGGCCTGCAGACTCATATCTACGCGCCCATGAGTGTGGACCTCCGAAACAAGTATCGGATTGCCGGCAACCAACCTGGTGTTGAGGCGCCCGAAGTGCCGGAAATTGGGTTGAAGGGGCTGGGCGCGCCATCCGACGGCCTGTACCTGAGGGAGGACATCGAAATCAAGTGCAACATCACAGTGCTCAGTTTTGTCAAGTCGCAATTAAGAAAGGCCGGCGGCGAGATGGTCAAGCGCATTATCAAGAAGGCAGAGCTGTTGGATGCCGGGGTGCTTCAGGCCATGATCGAGGACGGAAAGCTCAGGACGATCAACCCAGCCGACAGAAGCAGCCAGCTCAAATCACCACTCCCGTCTCCTACCAGCCTCCGGTACTCGCCATCCGTCAGCGGCTCGCCCCCGTTGGGGTCACCGCCCATTCCATATCAGGTCCCCCGGGTGCAATCGTCATATGCGGGATACCAGCGGCCTAGCACCTCTGGTTCGCAAGGTGTCGTGGCGTACGGGATGCAGGAGGGTGCCCAAGAACTTCCAGCTGGGCATGCAGGACAAGCAAGTCCACCAGCACAAGCCCCCATCGAGATGCCCGGCGACTTCTATTATACGTCCCCTAACCTGCAATCCGACCGGCAATCACCACCTCAGGCGTTCCGGTCATCCCCCCCTCCCAGCAACCGAGAATCATTTATTGACCCAACCCAATCGTCCAACACAAGCCCGAACCCATCGGTGGGCGGCCAGTGGACGACGCCGGGTCCACGACCCATCTCGGGGTCCTCGGGAGCCCCGAGCCCTGGCCTGGACAACAAGGGTTTCCCAGCGCCCCTTGCCCCTCACAGAGAGACCGCTAAGGAGCACCAGGACGACAAGAAGGCGCCCACCCGGGCGCCGCAGCCGCCTCAATATGTGCCCTACAACCCGGCTGACTACGCCAAGAGGCCGCCAGGGCAACCCCAATACGGGCATGGTCAATTGGACCAGAGGTACAGTTATACGTGATGAATGCTTGGAAAATTGTACAGGAAGGATATAGAAGTGCATGACGGCTTATACCCGGGATTTTGTTATGTTCCTACCTTGGCTGTGGGCGTTGGGCGTCAAAAATGACATGCTGCAAATGGCGGATCTCAGGCGGTAATTTTCAATAGCGAATAATTTGATATGCCATTCTCTAGCGTGTAAGATGTTGTTGCTCTACTTACTGCTGTCCCCTTCAACTCCCTTGGGAAAATCCACACCTCGAGTTGAATCCTCACTGGTCAGCCCGAGCGGCCAGCGGCACAGCGGCCTCCCAAGGCTCACCCCTTCGTCCCACCTTGGTTCCCGAGCAGTTGAGTTCCCGAGGCTACAGGCCCAGTAGCGGCCCTGCGGCCGGCCTGAACCTCACTGGTCTGCGGCTGTGGCTGCGGGAAGATGCGCACCTTGTCAAAGATCTCAAACTTTACGCTCGGGGCCGTCGAGCAACAAGGAACATCAAGCCCACAAAGAGTTGGCCCCCAGCCAAAATTCTGATTTCTAAATCTAGCGCCGGTAAAAATGCTTTGTCGGCCTGTCCGAAACCACTCCTTATTTCTTTTAAGCCTAGTAATGGCGTCGGCCTTCGAAGTCCATCACCGTGTAATAGGGATTGTTGGCGAGCACGCGTGGCTAGCGCCTAGCGCCTGCTCAGAATGGCGATCCTCTGGTTACTCAGCGACAGGCAGATAGGCCCACAACACACGAGTTTCCCATCCAACTCATTAAGACGGGAAGACCACTGCCGATGGCTCAGCCCCCTGGTCCCATCCTTGTAGCCTCGATAGCGTCGGAAGAGGAAGATGGAGGGGTGACGTGCACTCCTTGATATCGATTTGTTGCGTGACGTTACCGTTGAGTTCGATTGGATCAAGTAGTTGAGTTTCTTTTCCAACTTCAGACGACTGCGACGAAAATAGGAACCCCCACAAGGCACAAGCTTGTAGGAGACAAAGCCCAGAAGTGGCGGTTTTGAGGATTTGGCTGGTCTAGACACACAGTGAATGGACACTGTGCTAAGACGGTGGGTGGAGTTGGACCTTGGGCGAAAGCTCGGTGACACCCAGAGTGCACGTCCCACATGCACTTCTGGCAGCGACGTCACTTTAACATTTCCATATCAAAGTTGGTCTTGGCGTTCAATTGACTCAAAACACATGCCTGCTCAGCGAACCCAACACTGCGATAATGGACAGTTTGGAAGCTTTTGAAAAGGCGCTTGCTGCCGAAAAGGCCGAGGAAGAACGCGCCGCCCGTGAAAAAGAAGAACGGCGCGAACGAAAACATAGGCACCACCATCGTCGCGATCGCTCTTCAGAACGCGACCGAACGAGCGAGAGACACAGGCACCGCGATTCAGAGAGGGATAGAGACGACCGCAGTGGGCGCAATGGAGACAAAGATAAGCGCAGCCATCACCGATCTCGAGACGATGATCCGGACGAGGACAAGCACCGTCACAAACGCTCACGCCATTCCCGCGACGACCCAGAAGAAGAATCTAGGCATCGGCATAGGCACCGGCACAGATCAAGAGAGCGCTCCAGAGGCGGAGAGGAGAAAGGCCGCGAAAGGCGGGGGACAAGAGAGATCAGGGACCTCAAATTATCGGACCCCAAGGAGGATCTTCCCATTCCCGACGAAGAGAAGACCCCGGCCAACGCTACGCCCCTTCTTCGAGACTCCTGGATGACGGCGCCCTCGGCATTGGATATTGACTACGTTCAAAGAGGAGGGAAGCGGAAGAGTCCGTCACCCGTGAGAGAAGAACCACCAAGGGTGTTACACAAGCGGGAGCTCAATCGAGGCCTGGGCGAGGTGCAGAGCCGTGAGCAAAGTGAAGAATCTAGCACGAGGGAAGTGAGCTACAAATTTGGCGACGAGGGATCGCAGTGGAGGATGACGAAACTCAAGGCGGTGTACACCATTGCGGAGCAAACAAACCGACCGGTTGATGAGGTTGCCGAGGAGAGATTTGGTAGCCTGCGGGACTTTGACGAAGCTAGGGAAGAGAAGGTGGAGATGGATAGGCGTGGCGTGTACGGCGAAGGCTACGTCGGCAAAGAGAAGCCGACCGGTGAGCTGTATGTGGAGCGACTGGCGACGGCTCGGCGGGCACCCGCCCGCTCTCCATCTCCAGAACCTGAGCAGGGCATGGTTATCGAGGATATGATTCATCCGGCCCCCCCAATGGACCAGTCCGCCCTCAATCGCATGCGTGCTCAGCTGATGAAGGCGAAACTTCGCAACGCCCCCGATGCCTCGAAGCTCGAAGCAGAATACAACGCCGCCATGGCCGCCTTCAGCACTGGCGCCGCCTCGAACAACGCCGTCGTCCTCGACGCTTCCCACAACCGCATGCTCGCCGGTAGCCGCGGCGAAGTCAAAGCAGTCACCACCAAGCGCGGCGTCGAGCGCGGTCAGGTTGAGGCGAACGAAGACATGTCCATCGACGACATGCTCCGCGAAGAGCGCCGCACGCGCGGACAAGCCGGGGGCGAAGGGCTCCGGCTCGCCGAGCGCATCGCCAAAGACGCGCGCTTCGACAATGACCTCGAGTACCTCGACGAAAACGCCGCCAAGCTCGCCAAGCGCGTCCACAAGACCGACTCCTCCCTCAAAAACATCGCCGTGACCGAATACAAAAAACTCAACCGCATCCTCGACACCTGCCCGCTCTGCTTCCACGAAGACCGCGCCCCACCGCAACACCTCCCCCTCGCCCCGGTCATCGCCCTCGCAACCCGCACCTACCTAACCCTCCCCACCGCCCCCGAACTCACCGGCGCCGAAGGCGGCGCGGTCATCGCCCCGCTCAGCCACCGCACCAACCTCCTCGAATGCGACGACGACGAGTGGGAGGAGCTCCGCAACTTCATGAAGAGCCTGACGCGGGCGTACCACGAGCAGGGGCGCGAGGTTCTGTTCTACGAGAACGCGGCCGCGCCCCACCGGCGCCAGCACGCCGTCCTGGTGGCCGTCCCCGTCCCCTACGACCTCGGCGCCACCGCGCCCGCCTTCTTCCGCGAGGCCATGCTCGCCGCCGACGAGGAGTGGGCGCAGCACCGCAAGATTATTGATACGGGGAAGCGGGCGCGCGAGGGGCTGGGGAAGCTGGCGTTTCGGAGGACACTCGCGCGCGAGATGCCGTATTTTCATGTGTGGTTTGATTTGGATGGGGGGTTGGGCCATGTGGTGGAGGATGCGGAACGCTGGCCCAAGGGGGATTTGTTTGCGCGTGAGATCATTGGGGGGATGTTGGATTGCGAGCCGGATGTGATTAAGCGGCAGGGGCGGTGGTCGAGGAATGATGACCGGGTGGAGGGGTTCAAGAAGAGGTGGCGGAAGTTTGACTGGACGAGGGTGCTCACCGAGGCTGGGCAGTGAGTGATTGGAGGGAGGGCTTCGTAGTCTATGAAGATAATCAGCATTCCAAGCATGGGTGTTTGCCAATCTTAGTACACTAAATAATCTGTACATGACACCTGAAAACGCCATAGCACTGCCAAACTCCGTCCGTGGAAACCGGGACTTTTCCGACCAAACCTGAGCACCCCAACTAGGTACCGTGTGTTGGTCAACCCTCCTCGGCGTCCATATGATCCCGGCTCGACCCGGGTGGCCCTCTCTTCCGCCCCTTCCCGCCCTTCAACACCGAGCCCTTCTTTCCACGATCATCCATCAGCGCCTTGATCTCAGTCTTCGCTATCCGCTGTGCCTCTTCCACCCGTGGTCTGAACACCATGACGTCGTCTTTTTCCAAGGAATACTCCGTAAGTTTGGTGCCCAGTGCCGCCTCGATGCGCAGCCAGAGTTCGAGGTCACTTGTAAGAGTTAGCATCGGCTAGGCAGTCTAGAAACTCGTGCAGACTTACTATTGTGTTACAAAACTGATTGCGTGTCCCGACCGGCCGGCACGTGCCGTACGACCCACACGATGCACGTAGGTCTTGGAGTCCCCGGGGAGGTCCAAGTTGAGGACGCAGTCGACGTTGGGGATGTCGAGACCGCGGGCGGCGACGTCGGTGGCCACGAGGATGTCACGGGAGCCGGCGCGGAACTTGTTCAGGGCGCCGAGACGGGCCGACTGCGAGAGGCCACCGTGCAGCGGGATGGCACCCATGCCGAGCGTGCGTAGTAGGATAGCAATCCGCTGGGTCTCGATCACGGTGCGGGTGAAGATGATGATGGTTTGGCCCGCAAACTCGTTGCATAGGTAGATCAAGTAGGTGTCCTTGTGGGTGTGCGGGATGAAGACATAGTTCTGAACGAGAGTCGAGACGGTCTGGTACTTCGATGACGAGATGCTGACTTTCAAGGGGTCGCGCAAACAGGCGCGCTGCAGGCTCTCAACTTTGCTTGACATGGTAGCGGAGAAGAGGAAGGTCCTGCGTTCTCTGGGAAGAAACTTGAGGATCTTGTCCAGAATCGGGCCGAAGTCCATGTCGAGGAGACTGCGATTGTTAGCAACTTAAGTTACTAAGGGGTAATAAACGGCATTCTTACCGATCGGCCTCATCCATGACCAGGTAGCGGAGGTTCCGCCTAAGTATGCGGTTAGTAAAGGTTTCCCCAGATGTGAAAACCGTAGGGCTCACAGCAGACTCACAGACTGAATCCCTTCGTCTTCTCCAAATGGTCCAACAACCGACCGGGCGTCGCAACCACCACGTGCGGCTTCTTTCCCAGCGCAATAGCCTGCTGTACCATGTCCAAGCCACCCAGAATCAGAGCACATCGAAGCGATATCAGAGAGCCCAGCGCCTCAAAGGATTGCGCAATTTGGGCTGCCAGCTCTCTTGTTGGGGCGAGCACGAGGGCGAACAGAGGTTGTGGCTTGTCGAGAAGGGCTTGGAGAATCGGAAGTGCAAACGCACCCGTTTTACCGCTACCGGTCTCTGCAAGGCCAATAATGTCGCGGTCTTGTAAGGCAAGTGGAATCGATTCCTGCTGGATTGGTGTCGGTTTCTTCCATCCAAGCTCTTTGCAAGCGTCGCAGAGGGAGTCAACGATGCCCTAGCCTTACTGTTAGTTACTATGCTTGAACGCCGAGGAATGGACATCGCGCACCAAGTCCTGGAATGTTTTTGGGGCAGGCTCTTCGCTCTCCTCCCCCGACGCATCGTCTATAGTCTCTGACTCGGCCTCGGAGTTTGGTACCGCGGACGGTTCGACCGGTGCTGTTACAGGTTGAGGTTTTGTTTTGGGTTTTTGGATCTGAATTGAGGCTTCTTTTATGGCCCCATTGCCGGAAGAGACCTTCCTACGTTTGGCCGACATGACGGGCTCCTCCTTTCAGATAATTGTTGGCCTGTGGTGCAAAACCGTCTTTTTGTTGCTTCAACTTTGGAAGACGACGACGATCGAGGGAGTGTTGCTCCCAAAATTGCGGGCTTATCGGCGGTGGGGCATGCAAGATAAGCGCGGCCCCACCGAAATTTTTGCCCGCTTGCAACTGTCCCAAGCAATCAATTGGTCTCGGAGCTGCATCCAGATCATCAGAACAACAACACTACCCTCATTATCAGACACCATGGCCAAAAGACGCTCAAAAAAGAGAACCCATGTTGGCGCGACAAATCCTGTTACGCCCTCAGCGATCAATGGCCATGCGAACTCGAAAGATCCGAAGAGCATGGTTATCCGGATCGGCGCCGGCGAAGTTGGAACCAGCATCAGTCAGTTGGCCACCGATGTTCGACGTGTGATGGAACCGGGGACAGCGACACGCCTAAAGGAGCGGAAGGGTAACAGGTTACGGGATTATGTTACCATGTGCGGCCCCCTCGGGGTCACCCATCTCCTCCTTTTCTCGAGGTCTGAGTCCGGGAACACCAACCTGCGGCTGGCGGTTGCGCCGCGCGGCCCTACATTCCATTTCAGGGTCGAAAAGTACTCCCTCACCAAGGATGTACAAAGGGCGCAAAGGCACCCAAAGGGCGGCGGAAAAGAGTACATCACACCTCCATTGGTAAGAATCCCGGCTTCCAATGTGTCTAGACATCCCCACTAACCGGCCCTCGAGCTCGTCATGAACAACTTCAGCAATCCCTCCTCCGACGCAAACTCCAAGGTGCCCCGACACCTCGAGTCCCTCACCACGACCGCCTTTCAGTCCCTCTTTCCCCCGATCAACCCCCAGACAACACCCCTAAAGTCGATCAGGAGAGTCTTGCTCCTGAACCGCGAACAATCGGACGACGGGACGTTCATCGTGAACTTCCGGCACTACGCGATCACAACAAAATCGGTTGGCCTCTCGAGGCCGTTAAGACGGTTGAACGCCGCTGAGAAGATGCTGAAATCCAAGAAGGGAAAGAAGGGGGGTCTCCCGAACCTTGGGAAGCTGAAGGATATCTCGGAGTTCATGATTGGTGGCGAAGACGGCGAGGGATACATGACGGACGGGACTAGCGGAAGCGAAGCCGACACGGACGCCGAGGTCGAGATTCTGGAGACGGCTGCGAAGAGAGTCCACAGCGGCAAGGCCAGGGCTACCGAGCAGGACAGCGATGACGACGAGGAGGGCGCCAACGACAACGTCGAGCGGCGGGCTGTGAAGCTAGTCGAGCTGGGACCCCGGATGCGGCTGCGGATGACTAAGGTTGAGGAGGGCATTTGCTCGGGCAAAGTCATGTGGCACGAGTATGTCCAAAAGTCGAAGGAGGAAATCAAGGAGCTGGAAAAGAGGTGGGATCAGCGCAAGAGGGAGAAGGAGGCCCGCAAAAAGCAACAGAAGGAGAACGTTGAGAAGAAGCGCAAGGAAAAGGCAGGGAACAAGAAGGCTGGCGGAGGTGGTGATAAGGACGATGATGAAATGGATGTGGATGAGTACGACAGCGACATGTACAACGAGGACGACTTTGACAGCGAGGGGCTACAGGGCGACGCCGAAGAGCAGGTCAATGCCGAGATGGAGGAAAGGGGCGAGTGGGAGGATGAGGAGGAAGAAATTGCCCAAGGGAGGAGCTCAAAAAAGAAATCTCTCAAGAGATAGTTGTAAAAATGAGTCCTTTCCTCGTTGGCCGGGTTCTTGTATCTAACGGCGTTCCCATCCCTTGGAGGATTTTCGAAGAATAGCACAAGTACATGCTTGGTGTCAAGTTAATTGTGATCTTGGCTTTGTTCGTGACAACGTTTCAGATTGAAGATTACAACTGCTTCCAAGTCCATTCGCATATTTCACGTGTCATGTAATGAGCATTATATAAAAAAGTACAGGTAATAAGCATCTAGCTCTAATGACTTGTATCTTACGCCACGATGTTCCTATCCTTTGCACCGCCTCGGCTTCCCGAACAATCACTAGCTAGAAGAAACATGGTTCTTCGATGAAGTATTATTATTGTTATTTCTCTTATCACGCTAGGTACTAAGTACATGCGGTCCCTCAGCGATTAACTCGGTAGGAAAAACCATGCCTAAGCTGGATGAAAACCTCCGCACCTCCGCTGCGGCCTCGCCGCTACCCCGTGGATCCATCTCCTCGAAAGGGCTCACCCACCTTTCGAGGTCAAAGTAACGAAATAGATAAAATGAGTTGTAACCTCTGTTCCATTGGTGCCCTTCTGCTACTCCGCTTCGGCCCCGCCGCGGGCCTCCTCGTTGTTCTCAATTTCCAGCTCTACCGCCAGCCGGAACTCGTTCAGCCTCCCCAGCCCAAGTACCCCAACCCACCATTGTGGCAGCCTTCTCCATGTCATCTAGCCACTCCAGTAGCTCTGCGCCGTCGTCTGGCCAGGGCTGAGGTTTATCTGCGGCTCCGTTGCATTCGAGTACGAGGTGTTCAAATGTCTCGCGCGCCATACCGCAGCGGCATACCGGCGTTACCACCTCGGGGACCCTCCTAGTAAAGAGGAACCCTCGAAGCCCAATCTTCCCGGTCCTCGCTTGCACTAGGAGGGTACTCCTCGCGTTCGATAGCTCCCAGGCTGGATCCCTCGACCGGTGTCGGTTCATAACAGAGGCGTCGAACCGCGCGGTCGCATCGGCCGGTTCGAGGGCCCGCCCCGGGTTCCTAGCGACCACCCTAGCTACCTCACTCTCCCATCTTCCAATCCACTCCCTTCTCATTGCCGCCTCCATCCACCTCTCGAGCTGTTTCTTGTGGTTTGGTACTGGGCCGGTCGACCCTGGCTCTAGCTCCTCCTTTTCCGGCCTCGACTCGAGGGGGGCCCATTCCTGTGCCCACCTCTTCTTCCATTCGCCTGAGCCCTTTTCCGCTGGTGCCGTTGCTATATCGGCTACCTCCCGCCGAGGTCTTCCTCTCCTCCTTCTGCGCCTCCGCCGCAGGATCGCAGCGATTGTGACAGGGGTCTGGCGGATTAGCCTCGCCTCCTCTGATATCCTAACCCGATCCTCGAAGGCAAGGAGCCTCTTGTTGAGGTACAGGTCGATGGGTGGGCAATAGGTTTCTGTCTCCAAGCTCCGTATTGGGGTAGCGTTGTAGGCCCCAGCGACAACCCTAAGGCACTCCGATTGGATCTTTGCGAGTTCCTTTGCAACCCCGCGGGGGGGGCCCCCTACCTCTGTAGGGGTGTGGAAGGCTGGGGCTCCATACGCGATCGCACTGCGGATCACTTTCGAGTAGATCTCCCTCGCCCTCGCGAAGGTACACCCCCACGTCTTTGCGGCGAGCCTTGTTAGGGCACAGATCTGGGTCTTCATCTTCTTCCTCACCGCCGCGAGGTGTGCGCGGTACCTCAGCTTCCTATCGAGCCAAACCCCAAGGAATCTAGCATCCTCAACTGGTTTTAGCTCTACCCCCTCGATCGTTAGGGTCTTCTCGATCGGGGCCCTTGCTCTCGAAAAGTGGATTAGTTCGCTCTTCGCTGGCTCGAATTCCATACCTCTCTCTGCTGCCCAGCCCGCACAGTGTCCCCAGGCCTCCGCTAGGATGCCGCAGGTACCCTCCGTCGTCTCCGCTACGGCTAGGATATTGGTGTCGTCTGCGAACCCTACCACGATTGCCCCCCTTACTGCCTCGAGCCTCTTGTAGAGTGTTGAGATAAATAGAAGGAAGAGGATTGGGGAGAGGGGGGACCCCTGCGGGACCCCTGCGGCCACCTCGTACCTTTCGGACATCGTCCCATCGAACCAGAGTTTTGCCGACCTCCCATCGGTGAACGAATCGACCCATCTAAGGGTCCACAGCGGGACCCCCAGCTCTCTAAGGGTCCTTGTAAGCCATCCATGGTGTACCCTATCGAAGGCCCCTTTGAGGTCTAGTTGAAGGAGAGATGCGTTCGCCTTATGCCGCCAGGTCTCGTGTACGGCATCTGTGACCACCCTGATCGCGAAGCCCCGTGGAGCGGCCGCTGCGGTTCCCCATCTGTCCCCTCGGGCAGCCATCCCTGCTTCTCCGCTTCCCGGGAGAGGCGTTCTGCGATTACCATTTTCGACGACTTTTCCCGACGCTGCTGAGGAGGGTGATCGGCCTCCAGGCGCCCGCTGTTTTTTGTTGCGCCTCTGACTTACCGGGCTTCCTAAGTACCACTACTCTTCCGCTGCGAAATCGCCGCGGGAACACTCCGTGCGCGAGGCTCCCTCTTGTAAGGACCGCCATTGCGTTGTACAGGGGCTCGCCGCAGGCCTTTAGGAACCCGTTGGAAAGTCCATCCTCCCCAGGTGCCTTGTTGTTTGCTGTTCTTGCAAGGGTCTTTCTAATATCCTCGTTGGTCACTTCCTGGTGGAGGAACTCGTACTCCTTATCGGGCCCGTGGCTATATCCCCGCGGCCCCGGGTCGACTCCTGGTATAACGGTAGGGAAGAACCGGCCTGCGAGGATATTAGACTTCTCCCCATGCGTCTCTGCTGTGCCTCCATCCTCCTTGGTTAGGGAAGGGATCTTTGGTGGTGCCGCCGCGATATGGCTTCGGAGCCTCGCCCACCTCTCTATAGCCCACAGTTTCTGGGGGTCGGCCGATGCTTCGTGGATACCCTGCCTCCAGCACTTCGTCTGCGACCTTCTGATGATAGCTCTCTGTGCTCTCCTCGCCTCTTCGAGTTCTTCGCGGCGCCACGGCGTCCTCACAGCTCTCCAGTCTCGGAAGGCTTTTCGCGTTCTCCTCGTCGCGTTCTTGACTTTAATGTTCCACCAGATGGCCTGCCTTCCGCTACTACGCTTTCTCTGTGGGACCGCCTCGTTCGCGATTCCAATTAGCTCCTCTAGTAGTTTGTTGAAGGAGGGTTCCACTTGCTCCGGGTGTTCGATTCGTTCGGGGACAGTGATCCTAGCTTTCGCTAGCTCTTCGACTTGCTCCTCGTTCATTAAGCCCCAGCTCCAGCCCTCTAGGACTTCGCTACGCTCTCTTTTCTGCCCTGCCTCTCGTCGTAGACCGAGATTCGTTGTGGGACATGGTCTGACCCCCCTAAGCACGGGTCCCCCGGTCCGTGGTACACCGCTGTAGAGGTTTTTGTGACCCATGCGTGGTCGATGGTGCTGTCTCGCTCCCCCCTTGTTGCGTTCCCGTGATAACCCTACCCGTAGCGGGTAACGTCGCCCCATGGTGTTATAAGGTCGAGCCCCCAGACCTCTGCGAGGCCGTGGAGCAGGCCCACGCCCCGGCTTGTTCTGCCTTCTGCATCCCACATCGGGTGGTGGAGATTCATATCCCCTACAACCACATTACGGCCCCGCGGCTGTCTCTCTGCAAGCTCTTTGAGTGGTGTCTTCCATTGTTCGTATGGTTCCCCTGGCCCCTGGCCTGGGGAGTATACCGACCAGACTGTCAGTGCCTCTTCGGCGCCGCTGTGGAAGGTTACCGCAACCCAGTCATCCCCCCTCTCGAACTCCCAGCTACCCTCCTCGTGCTCCTTACTCACGTATATTAGCGCCCTCCCCCTGCCTGTACTCGTTACTACCCAGTATCGGCAGCCTGCCGGGCAGTATGGGCCACCGTTCGCTCGCTACCCCAGGTTCCTGGATTGCTATTATGTCGTAGCGATCTCTCTGCTCCACCGCGTCCCTCACCCTCTCGTACGCCTTCGCAACGTTCCAGTAGAGGATCTTCCACTCTACCATTCCGCGGGGGGGTCAGTTCTCGCGGCCCACGTTTCGGGAGTACCTCCGCCACTGCTAGCTGCGGGGGAGCCGTGGACCCGCCGGGTCCGGTTGAGCATTGCTACCACGGAGAGGCCCGTACGCTGCTTTCCCCGCTTGGGGGGGCGCCCAACCGGGCGCCCCAGTATTCCCGTAGCGGTACCCCTCCGCTTCCGGTTGCTTCTTCTTGGCTGTACCTCTTCGAAACCCCCCTGGGCACTCTCGTGGTCGGCCTCTGTAAGTTCCGTGGGTTGTAGCTGTGTGTCCGCTGTGGTGACTAGAGGGGGGGCTTCCTCGGCCCCTACCCCCTGGGGTGGTGTGTTCCTGTGCTTCGGTGGGGGCGCGAAGGACCGGGGCCTCTCGTAGAAGGCCCTCGATGCTCTCTCCTGTTGCCCCTGAACTCTTGGGCAGTCCCTAGAGAAGGCGAAGTGGCCTCCCCCCTGGGCTCCGCAGGGACCGCAGCGGACAAGCCTCGGGTTCGCGTTCGCTGGGCATACCTCTTCACCAAACCTTGGGCCTTCGTGTCTGTCGTTTCCGCACCTTCCACAGATCTTCCGGTTCTTGCAGGTCGCTGCGAAGTGGCCGAACTGGTAGCAAGCGAAGCACTGCAGCGTGTTCGCTGCGGGCTCGTAGGGCTCGCAGTAGTACGCCCCCCCCTTCCAGAAGAGTGGGCCATTCGTAAGGCGCTCTGCCTGTTCCGGCGAGAAAACCTCTAGTAGTAGCCTTCCAAATCGAGTCTTTTCGGCTTGCCTCCTCTTGTGCGGTCTAGCTCGTATAATCTTCATTCCAGCGTTCGCTGCGGACAGCTGTCTCCCCAGCGTCTCCGCATCGACTCCGTCGATACTCTCCCACGGTATCCCCCGCACAATGATCGGGATAGTGCTGAAGGCGATCGTCGCCTCCGGTCCAAACGCCTTTGTAACCCAGCCCTGGTTCTCCATATACCAATTGCGTTCCTCCTCGCCAAATGTGACCGTAAAGTCTCCGCTGGGTAGTCTCTGCGCTGCCCTTGCTCCGTTCCGCGCCGCGGCTATATTGATTGCCTGTACGGTCTCCTCTGCCGTTCGCTTCGCAAGGCCGGTGGGGATATTCCGGGCGCGGACCGTGATCTGTCTTGTGAGCCTCGCCGGGATGTGCTTCTGGACCATCGGCGGTCCCGCAGCTGGCCAGTGGCTGCGGCCTCCAGCGGCCTGGTGGCCACCCGCCACGTCCGCGTAGGACCGTTGCTTCTGCAGTCCCCCGGGTGTTCCTCCGCCCCCGGTGATGTTCCGGAGCATTTGTTTAACCTCCTCGAGGTCGCCCTTCGTGGCATACGCCGCGTTATCGCCCGTAGCCCTCGGCGGCCCAACGGCAATCGCCATCGCGAAAACTTCGCGGGCCCACTTATTCTGGTCTTCGGTGACCTCCGCATAGTTGTTCGTTTTCGTTACTTTGACCACGAAATGTCTGATCTTCTCTTCGTAGATGTCTTCTCCCGTCCGTACTTGAGTCGCAGCGGTTTCGTCGTTGTTGCGCGGCGCGGTTGGTGGCTTGTCACTGAGGTTGGCGAGGGCGTGGTGGCGGCTCTGCTCGAGTCCGGCCGCATCTCCGTTGACCACCATCGGTAGCGCCGCGGTGCCGCTGCTCGCGCCATCATGCGGCATCGTCTCCGGGGGCAATTGGCCCTTGCGAAAACGATTCTGTCGTCGGTTTGCGTTTTTGTCACGTGTGTGGCTCTGTACAAACGTTTACTTGGAGTCCGGCTTTTTGAATTCTTCGATGAAGTAGTTCACGGCTTGCAACGGTGAAAGAGGTAACTAGATTCAAATTTCAAAAACCGGCTGCTGATATGATCGCGTGTATCTAGAACACCGATGGGTATCACTGTCCCTCAATCTTCGATCTTTCGTCGTCATTATAGTGATTTTTCTGCCCGTGTAACTCATTGAATATGATATATGAAATGCTTTCCATCGCGTCGTCTGGTGGGATTTTGTTGACTTCAACAAGGGCTATCTTCACTTATAACTGGCTTTCCAGAAACTCAATTCCTCAATCTAAGAACTGCTCTTAGAAAGGCATAACAATGAAGTGGACGGTATGTATTTGGAGTGTATACCAAAGTAAGCGGCACGGAACATGCTAAACCAAAGACGAGATGCTGTGCTGAGAGTGTTTTGCCAACCCACTGGAAGACCCATTTTGCCAATGTTGAACCCCCTGAAAATGACTTCACCGATTCCACAATCACATGCAAAACAAACTCTCGGCCGCCCCATCCAAGATCCATCCAAACCCCATCGATCCCTCCGTGCCATCCCGAACCCGGATGCCGCGACCCGACACCATAACCGAACGCCCGGCCAAACCCCCAGAAAATGCCCCGGATATCACTGCCCGCCCCAAAACGCCATGATGCATGCAGCAAAGCCACCAACCCAAACCCAAACCCACCCAACAGCCAACCCAGCCACCCCCCTCCCATCAAATCCCACTCCCCCATCCCCATACTACCCCCCGTGCAGTGACCCTACCCCCTCCGCTGCGCCTCATAAACGGCCAACGCCCTCTCCAGCTCGGCCAAGCTCCCCCGGTCGCCATACGCGTCCTCCATGGCGGCCTCCTGCTCGCGGTGGCGGCGGCGCCGTTCCGCCTCGGCCTCGGCCTGCTGTGCCGCGGGCGAGGAGGCACTAGCAGTGCTGGTGTTGGTGGTGATGGTAAGGCTGTCGCGGTAGCGGGACACGGCGAGGCCCGCTGTTACGGCGGCTGCTAGGGGGGGGAGCCTGGGGGGATGGGTTAGTTTCGGTTGGGTGAGTTGGGTGGGTTGGTGTTGGGTGTATAGGGCTGGGAGGGGAGGGTTGAGGGCGGGGGTTGGGAGTAGGTACCATTTCAGGCTCTTCCCTCGGTTGCGGGAGGCATTGTGTAGGTAGGGGAGGTATGGCGGGTGCACGCGGGCGGAGGTGGTGAGGAGTCTTGAGGGGGGTTGGTTCATTTTGGTGGTGGTGGTTGTGTGCGTGAAAAGGCTAGAGTCCGTTTAGTTTGAAAGGACAGTTGGGTGAACCCTTAGCTCGTGAATGGGGTGGATGGATGGCAGCACCGAGCGAGTCTAAAAAGAAACAGAGACGAGACTCGGAGGATGGGGAAGTGCCAAACGTGTTTCTTTAAATGGGAGACAGGAACTGCCGCTTCAGCTCTCAAAAGAATCAGGCCACGGGTTGGGGGTGTCTCTCTGCATAAAAGCATGCGGCAGCGGCCGGGCGGTCGGCATCTGGTGTGACAGACGGCCCACAGTGGTGTGTTTTGGGTGCGTGGGAGCGATGCAATGATGCACATCTCGAGCCATCAAGCTGTGGGGGGGATTAACCGAGGAAGAGGATGGTGGGGGTATGGGGTCCTCCAGCCCGCGGCCCCTCCGCTTCCCCGGATATTTTGCGGGGACCTAAATGGCTGCCTCGGTGCGGGATGGTCGTCGAGGTCGTTTCCAGCGGCGGCCACGTCAGGGGCCCTGGTTACATCATGTTGATCGGGCACATTTCATACGGCGAGCGGGCCAAACATGCGGGATGCGAGATGCGGGATGCATGCAGAACATTCAAAACAGTGGGGAGGAAGTCAAAGCCAGTGCCCGCTCTCTGTTGCACATGTCTGTATCATGACTGCTGGAGTATCTATTCGTACCTCCGTTCTTTCATATAGAATTGGCCCTGACAACTGCGGCCGAGTTACCTGTACCATCTGCGGGATGAACAGAGAGAGGCAGGTGTCACATTCTTTCCGCCTCTTTTGAGTTGTGTGTTAATAATCTGGACGCTTTCTTCCTCAGCAACAGAAGCAGTCATGCATCAGTCTCACGTCGCGTAATCCCATCATGCGACTGGTGGCCAATGATCATCCTCTATAATTGACGCACTCGTTTGTGTTGCAGCGCGAGGTTGCTACCATGTTGAAGGACGAGAAAGTGTAAAGTCAGAACGTGAGGTAACGGTTGGAATCACTGCGTGTCCCATTGGCTCCCCGACGCATGCAACCCCTTCCGCAACCTGCAGCTTCGGGCGGCAGGCGGGCGGAAAGTGGGAGCTGCGGGAAGAGGCTTGTTGAATGGTGAGTCCCTTCGGTGCTAGCGTGGAATTAATCCGGTCTTCAGCTCGGCTCCAACGTTCTCCGTCGGAGCTTCGCGGCCAAAACTGGTGTGACCATGCAACGCCCTCGGCGTTAAGAAAGCAATCGCCTTTGCGTCCAATACAACAATGCAGCGTGAAGACACTTTGGGCGTTACAATATGCGTGTGTGTGGCACTACAATCCAACGAAGCCAGTGCAACGGCCTCGCTTTTCAGCTTCTCCCTTCAAACACCACATTGCAGTGAAGTTGTATCAAAGCACCATTGGTTGCAATTGAGCTGAGCAGATTACACGGTCCCTCTTAGCTGAGAAAGCTGTTTCATACTCTCATTTGCTAACAGTAAGCATTGACAACGTACTGAGGAAAACCGGAACAGGTCGAAAACGGGCACCAGATAAAACCAAAAAAGAAGGAGATGCCCATTGTTTTGAAGTCCAACCGCGCATGACACATCAAGTCTCGAGAAAAAAAGATACAGTCAATAAATAACTAGCTCAAATCCTCACCCTCCACCTATCGAACAAAGGGGGCACCCCGGCCAAGGCACCGAAGGAGAGTCAAGAACAAGAAGCAATGAGATCCAAAGGGAGAGTGTTGAAGCGAGCCAAGCCAGCAAGGCCTGACTGAGCCCGGCATAGAACCCTTGGAGTCGCCGAATATACAAACACACACACCACACACACACCATCAACTCCTCCCCGAATCCTCCCCACGAGCCTTGCCAACAGGTTGCGCGTCAGCGTTCTTGTCCGTCCATCTACCCATCCACCAGGTATGTTACTGCCTTAGGTGCGGAGAAGGCGGGCCAGGTACTTGAGGAGCGACTCGTCGTCGTCGGCGGGAGGCTCAGGCGCCCCCGTCGGCTTGGGTGGCTCGCCGGTCGGCTTGGGCGGCTCACCGGTCGGCTTGGGCGGCTCACCGGTCGGCTTGGGGGGCTCGCCGGTCGGCTTGGGCGGGAGCGGGTGGCCGGTCGGGTGGGGATGGGGATGAGGGTGAACGCCGCCGGTGGGGTGGGGCCGGCCCTCGCCGCCCCAGCGCTTGTGGTTCTCGAAGGGCCCGCCGATGGGCCAGGGGGGCAGCTGCGGACCGCCGGTGCCCGTGGGCCGGGGAGGCCAGGGAGCCGGGCCGCCCGTGCCCGACGGCGGCCAGGGGGGGAAGGGCAGGCCGGAGCCGGTGGGCCGGGGAGGGAAGGGGGGCGCGGAGCCCGACGGCCATGGGGGGAAGGGGAGCCCGGAGCCGGTGGGCTGGGGCGGGGTCGGGACCGAGACGGTCGGGGTCTCCTCGCCACCGCCGCCCTGGGCGATGGGGGCGCCGACGGCTTGCTGCACGGCGGCGGCCGCGACCAGCGCGCTGATGAGGATGCGAGTCATCGTAACTAATGAATGAATGGAGAAGGGGGATTGTGCCGGTGTGGTTTGGGACTCAGGATGGGGCTCTGGGCTTGATGGTGAAGAGGCCTGCCGAGATAGCGACAATCGGGCAGGTCATGGTGGCTTATATAACCGTGGAGCTCCTTACAACGAGGTCATGGATTCAAGCTTCAGCAGCACCTTCTCGCGCAGTGGTGATGTGATCGTCGGCTCCAGGATGATACTTGACTGGATAATGTGGCCCTGGATCTCGATACTACATTGTATATGCGGACCAACCTCGGTGCCGCCACTGAATCACATCATTCCCGTCCTTGGGTCCAAGTGCACCCCGACGTTTTGGCGATGTCGATGCTTATCGCAAGCATCATCGACAGAGCAGGCTCATGGGCCAAAATTTTAATCTAATCGGGACGGGAGAGAAGCACGGCGTCCAGCGAATAAATTATCAGGAGGATGATCAACGGAGTTTCTGAACAAATACCCGGTTCCGGGGGGACCACAGAACATCCGTACTTTTCCACCACACAAAACATGGCTGATGGGGCCAGGCCCTGGAAGAAGCCTGGGGGGTTGCTGCGGCTGCTGCTTTGCGCCGCCCTCACCTTGCCCCTTTTCGAGTATGTTTTTGTTCTTTGTACATATACTTGGTACCTTTGAGCAGACACCGTCGTTCACGTTCGCTTCGCCTCTCTAGCCGCTGCCAGTAAGAGAGAACCATCGAAGGCGACAGACAAGCTTCGCTGATTATCTAGGTCCTTGGCGCCCGCATTTAATTTATGCCCCCTAACCCCTTTTTTCTCGATATCGGTATTTGGCCTGGCGATCGCTGGATCGTCGTGGTCCCTGGTTCCTGGTCTTGCGTCCTTGGCATGCCTGGCAGTCATTTTAGCCTAGCCAACTGCCGGAGGTCGCGTCGAGCCGGGACGACGATCCCCGCTGGCCGTTGAGGACTTGATATGCGCCTGTATCGAACCTCGAAGCCGCCCTTGCAATCATTGAAAAAGAAATCGGCGCGAACTGACCCGAGCCATATGGATGGGAGGCATGGGTTAGGGGTCGAGAGCGAATAAACAGTTAATAACCTCATGAGTCTGCCTTTTTCTCACCCGGGTTGCCGTCGTCCTATCATTTATGCATTCTCGTGGTGAGGAGCGCGGTCCCCCTGATAAGAATTCTCCTAGGAACTCATGATTGTGCTCTCCAGATGTTGACGGGAAAACCTCTGGAACGCCGGTCCATACCAACGATTGACTAGGTACCTAAGGACATGGAAAATGGCCTTGCTCCCGGAGTTGGCGAGTGCTGAAATACTAGGGTTAATATTATAGGCAAAATCGCGATTCTGGTACCAAGTAGAATATTGGCTGGCTGGGCCGATTATCTCGAAGATCTCATGTCATTCCATTCCCTGATGTCGAAACCGGAGTTCGAGGTATTCGCAGTCTGGTGCTACAACGGAGACACTGACCTTGCTCCTCCGTCCGTGATTGCATTTGTCTACGCAGATCTTGCGACACTCGCAAGCGAACCCGGCGGAGCGCGGTTATTGGCGCGCAACCAACCCTCATCAGAGCGGACCACACGGGAGCTCAGAGGCGCACACGCACGCCACCAATACATTCCATGATTCTAGAGGACAGGGGTTATGCGCCCGGATCGACTCTTGACATGTGTGATTCGCAGCCTTTGCTCGATCCGGGAGGACTGGCAACCGAGGAGAAATCTCTCGGTTCGCGACCTTCGCCTCTAAATTACAGGACCCTAGTTAGTGTTTATTGTTGGGACGGTGAAGAAGCGGTATTCACTCAAATCAGTAACATTTAGTGGCTGACCACCATCCACTAGGGCCGGGATTCAAACGAATCCAAGCAATATGTAGATGAAGTAAAGCAAACGTGGAAAGCGGACAGACATCTACTTTTTCTCGTTGCGGACCGGCACTGTCAGAAGATGATCACGGTGATCAATTCGGACTGGGGCTGGGGCTAGGAAGAATAGGGATTCGGAGGGATGGGCTGGGTAAAGGGAAGTCAGATTGTAGATCAACATCCTTGCTTTCCCTTCAGTGTAGCCAGCCCATCTCTAATCGAGCTTCAGGAACGGCGGCATATTGAATTTTTCTCCTAGCGGAATTATATGTTAGGTAATTACCTACCTGAAGGAGGCGAGGCATTATGTAGCCCAGGTCAGTTCATACCCAGAAGTGGAGTGACTGAGTTAGCTAGAAGCATCACCAATGGCAGCCATCGCTTCGTGGCAAGGCTACATACATTCTTTTGCGCCAGTATTATAGCCGGACGCCGTGCTGAGGCTGTATTTACCATGGCTTGTTGATCCCGTTATCTTCTTGCTTGTGCCTCCGTAGAAGAGACCAATGGTCAAGGAGACGCTGGTCTGTTATTCCACCAACAGGACCTGGCCAACGGTCGACATAGAGAAACAAGCCACCCGTCAAGATCACGCTTGCAGCTAGTACACAGCCGCTCAAAGCTTCGAGTCAATGATCACATTACGGCCATGTTCCCAATTTCAAAAGGCTAGATACGGTCCAAAAGATTATTGGCTAGAATATCATGCGGTAAATTCAAGTTGTGGCTCATGAACTTTGCCACGCCTGCGGAAGCTTTCCGTGGTGATGACTTCCAGTCGTCTACTGTGACGAACCTACTTCAGGACCCTGTCCTGTTAGGGTTCAGCTTCGGTTGAAGGTAATCTCTCAAGGGTGCTTAGGTTCGGTGCAGCCAAAAGGTGCACAACAAAGGCTTGTCTCAACAGTAGGCTTCCGAGCTTGTAGCGAACTGTAGTTGTGATTGCTAACTGGAGAACTCCCAGAGCTCTCCAGAACGAGTGACTATATACCTATCTAAGTCCTATGTGCTCAGTGTGCTCAGTCTCCTCCGGAGTTCGGCGTCACTGATCACACTGATCACTTTTAGTCCTTCCTGTGTTCTGATTGGCTGCATGGCTTCTATGCTCAGTGTGCTTGGTTTCCCTTTGTTCCCCGTTTCCCTGATCACACTGAGCACACCCCAGCCTTCCCTGATTGGTCCTCGGGACGACTGGCTCGGGGTGTCCGCGCCCCGAGGCTCCACCTGTTGACATATTCGTGACATCTACCCTCTGTGTTTCGGTTCATTCTCCGATGGGCTACGAGACTCCTATGCAAGACAGCCCTTGAGCTTATGGCGACTCTAATATGATGAACTCCCCACGGATGTGGGAGGCGACCCGGTAAAGAAAGGCATCACTAAGGCCCTCGGGAAGGCCCAGAACAAGAGCTTGCGGATTGTGGCGGGAGCCTTTAAGTCTACCCCCATCCGTAACCTCGAGACAGAGACATGGGTACCACCATTGGACTTGTACCTAAACAAACGGCTTGCAGATTTCGAAAACCGACTCCAACGACCCGATCTGGACGACGGTCAAGGCGGCAAGAAGACGGCGGCGAGTGTTGTCCTCACCGCCTGCCGCAAGATACAGCAGAGACTTAGCTCGAGGAGGGGCAACAGGGGCCGACCGCGAACCTTGGAACCTCAAGGGCCTACGGCGGTGGAGAGAGCCGCGGGCACGGTCATGCGCTGGACGGGGGGAATCGTCGATACGGACAGGGTAGTAGAAGAGGCCTGGAGAGCGAGGTGGTTAAAGGAACGGGACGGCAGAGCAATTACCAGGCCGGCGGACGACTTTGACCATCAGCGGGAGACGCTATTTCGGAACGAAACCCTAAGGAGGCATGACGGTCTCAACAAGGCGAAGAGCTCACTGCTGATTCAAATCCGGACGGGAGCAATAGGCTTACGGGACTTCTTGTTTACACGGGGAGTCCCGGAGGTTCTGACTCCTGCCTGCGAGTGTGGCGAGGGACGAGAGACTGCCGAATACCTGGTAGTGTGGTGTTTGGCCCCACCGTTGACTCGAAGATGGGAGAGAACTGGAATTCGGACACGACGGGACTTTTACTCTGTTCTACACGCCATCAATCCCACGACTGCACGGCTCGCGAGGAGAGTCCTCGACTGGCTGATGGACTCGGGGAAGCTGCCGATGTACAACTTAGCCAGGAGGCTCGAGCTGGAAGCGGCGGCCTGAAGCGCCCCCGTTCGGGGGCCAGGAGGCCTCCTCTCTTTGTATACGCATACTCACCAGAACGCATCGTTCCTTGATTGTTGGTATGGGTTTTTCACCCGGCCCGGGAGGGCACGGGTTTCCTGTACACTAAATAGCTGAGGGTCCGGCACGCCCTAGGGCATAGCGGAGTATGAATAATAATAATATGATGAACTGGATTACCTCGATCTACAGTCAGAAGTCCCTCTGCTACCCAGCTCTGACAGTACCCATTCAGGCACTGGGTTTGATATGGCCCATTTTTCTACCTGCCACGTACCTAATATGGGCCTTATAAACGCTTGTTAGATAATACCAACCTCGAGGGCAGGGATGTAGCTTCCATAGCACATGTAGTGAATGCTGACTCGCCGATGACGCGCCTCGGCCTCGTCCCAACCAACTGGTTCAGTTTTGGGTATTTTAGCTCGGCAGATATAGCCACTCTCGAGCCACTTATTCTTCAATTTGCCCCCAACGTCCGAACTAGCGAAGCACTGAGCATCTTCGAGCCGTGTGGCGCAACTCGCTGTCCGTTTGCCCCTGATCCGGAGCATCTTCACCGTAAGTGGTTATCTGTTCACACTCGGCGCCACCGGTGGTTCGTAAAACGGAAATAGATCCAGAATTTCTGGCATGACGGCATCGTCTCTTTCCTCTCGGACCCCAGAACTGAGCGGGGCATATTAGAAGGTGTGCGCTGGACGCCGCTACCAGAGAATCTCTTCTTCGATTCTTGATGCTTTTAAGCCTTTAACACCAACGATGGGGGCACTGGTCCCGCCCTGGTACAAAGAAAGGCCGACATCCCGGACTGGTTTGCTTATCGCGTCCTTTTTCTTCGGCGCGTCGATCGCTGTCGCTGTGGTCGACTCCACGAAAGCTGGGCGCCAGTCGATGCGCTCATGGCGCCGAAACCATCGAGCCAACACATACGTAATAATGCTATGGGCGGTTATCTCCACGTGCATCGTCTCCGCGGTCTGTAGCTGGCTGTTTCTCGCCGCCATCATCCCGCCAAGGTATGTCGACAGTCGAGCTGGGCCAAATCACAAACGCTGGCACCCGTGGTCTGATGGATTGGTAGCTAACGTCGTTGGGTCTTAGCATATGGTATTTTGTAGGGATGCGTACGTATAAACCCATCGGCTTCCTAAGATCCCATCATTCACTGACATGGCAGGTTGTGGTAGTCTTTCCGTGGGTTGTCCAGGTACGCAAACTGATCCCAGCTTCCCCGCAGCCACAACATTCCAGAGCATGATGACTGACGGCAACGCAGACACAATGTTTGCTGCAGATTTTGGCGAATAGACTCTCTCTCATCATGTACAACCCTGTGAAAGAGCGACGACTCAAGTTGGGGCTGTTCATCGCCATCGGCTTCATCAACGTCAGCGTCTTCTGCGTCTGGATCCCTGCCCGGCTACAAATCAGCCCGACAATCGTTCACGTCAATGAGATTTGGGATCGGATTGAAAAGGCGCTCTTTGCCGCCGTGGACATGGCCATGAACCTATACTTCATGTGGCTCGTCAAGTCCAAGCTGGTGTCGAATGGGTTGACGCAATACAACCTTGTCTATAAGTACAACATGATCACAGTTTGCTTGTCAATGCTGCTCGATGTAAGTAGCTCGTGGGCGCATGTATCACGAATATTCAGGCCTGGCTTACTGACGTGACGTCTTTCATACTAGGCTATGCTCATTGGCTTCATGTCGTTGCCAGACGACGCAGTGTAAGTCTAGGTACCCCCACCCCAAGCGTTGTTGCGAAGACATGTTGACACACGGTTAGATACTTCCAGGTCCAGGCATTGGCTTACCTCACCAAGCTAAGCATCGAGGTGAACATGGCGGATCTGCTCGGGAAAGTAGTCAAGAGATCGCAGGAAGGGGATGCCCCTCTGCCGATGTCAGATCGGGCTACTTGGCAGACATCGCCGCAGACTACCGGGCAGACTACCGGGCAGCCACAGCTCGGAATGAATGCCTTTGACCCGGAATGGCTTGGGAGTGCCAAGCAATTTATCTTGCCCCTAGGGAGCCGCGATCGCGGCGGTGACGGTGACGGCCAGATGCAAGAATTCAACTTGGACGTCTTGGACGGGAAGAATACACGTGAAGGCCCGAGTTTTGTTGAAGAACAGGCCGAGCAGGGGGCTTCGGGCTCAGGCACACAAGGAACCTCACAAGAATCGCCGTCGCGTCGCAATGCGGACGAGCTAGAGAGGCCACGAGCGGAGGATGTTGTGTATAATACGGAAAGGAAAGACAAAAGCCCTTTAGGCATTTCGGTCAGCAATATACCATGAACGGGTTTCCTAGGGACAACTGGGGACAGCCATAAAACTCCTGGATCCATGATCTTTGCACAAACTGATCTCGCTTAGGGTTAGGGATTTAGGCTTCGCCCAGTCAGGCGCCCCACTTTTCCCAACGTCATCCATGTCTCGTGGTTGCGTGGAGTGATTGATAGTCTTCCTCGTCGGTAAATGCATCTTCATCATCTTGACATCGAGAGTGTCCCGACATGGATAACGCGGAAGATTCGGAATCCAGAGGGCATACCCGAACAAGATCGGGCGTGAAAGGCAAGTAAAAGCGGCAGAACGGACCAGGATCGGGTTCGTCGCCTGGCTCCTGCAAATCACAACCGTTTGATGATGCGGCAATCGATTGAAAAAGTTGTGTTTTGAAGTTGGAACAGAATGCCGGGGTTAAATAGAATGGAAAATTGCTAATTTCTTTCTTTTTGTTGCAGCAACGCGGCCCCGCTCATCCACCAAAGGCCCTCTCGATGACGAGTGAGTGTCGCAACTTCCCGTCACCTTGCAAGCAGCAGGTTGTACGAATAACGTGACACATAATTAACCCTGACCGTGGCTTCACATCCAGCGGCCCTTTAGCCTCGCCTCTTTCCGCCGACCAGGTTCAACGAACACTTTCACTCAGAAGCCATACCGCTCCCAGAAGTCCCGCTCTCGGATCGCCCATGATGCGCTCCCCAGCTCATTCCCCAGCGCCAACCGGCAAGCGAGTCCCTATCGGCGGCGCACCCCCTTCGAAACACGGCCCGAAGGACTTTTCGTATCTTTTGCGCCCAGAAATCTACCATCCACTCACGCCACTCAACATCCCCCCGCCCTTCCGTAACCCGCCTAACCCGCCAGCCTCGGACACACCTATCCCCGAGCTCCTCTCGCAGGGCTATTTCCGCGCTGCCGCCATCGCCGCCACGCAAACCCTCACCGGCGGCACCGTCGACCCGACCGACCATGACCGCATCTTCGACCTTCTCTACACCCGCCTCGCCTGCCTCACCTTAATCGACGCGACCACCCTCGCCGCGCAGGAAGTCAAAGCCCTGGGCGACCTCCACTCCGCCTTCTACTACACAACCCCCACCCCCCAACAACAACACCCCGGATCACAACCTCCCCAAACCCCCGGCTCCCAACCCCCCCAAGACACCAGCACCCCCACCCCCCCTACACCAACGCACCTCGTCCCCTGGCCGCTGCGCCTCCTCGCCGTGCGCCTGCAAGCCCTCGGCTTCGGCGACCCGCGCCGCGCCGTCATGAGCTACTACGAGCTGGCGCGGGAGGCGCGCGCCCGCGTGGCCGCCGCCCGCGCCGCCCACGACCATTCCGCCGCCGAGGCCTGGAAGCACCGGCTGGCGGACCTGGGCGTGCGTGTTGCGGGTGCGTTGGTGGAGATGGATGATTTGGCGGGGGCGGTGGGGCATTTGGGGACTTTGGGTGGGGACAGGGGGAGTGGTGGTGGTGGTGAAGGGGGGATGGGGATGGTGAGGGTGAGGAGGGCGTTGTTGTGGTTGCATTTGGGGGATGTGGATGCTGCGAGGGCGTGTGTGGGGGGGGAGGCTGTTCAGGGAGGGGTGGATGAGAGAATGGTGACGGCGTTGTGTGATATGGCGGATGGCGAGTATGACGCTGCTTTGGGGAAGTGGGCTGATTTGAAGGAGCTAGTGGGTGATGATGAGATGGTTTGCGTCAATATGGCGGTTTGTTTGCTGTATGTTGGGAGAATGCACGAGGTAAGTAAGATGCTTTGCTCTTCTGTTTTGAGCGTAGTAGAGACTCTAATCATGATTGCTGACGTCAAAATAGGGCCGTGCGTTGCTAGAACAGCTTGTGGACACCGGACGAAGCTCGCATACGCTGCTGTTCAACCTTTCCACCATGTATGAGCTCTGCACCGATAGGTCACGGGTGCTCAAGGTGGGGTTGTCGGAGAGGGTGGCTGCTATGGGAGATCGGATGGGAGGCTGGGAGAAGAACAATGCCGATTTCAAACTATGAATGCAGTGGCGTCTATCTGGGCTTAAGGAGATGAGATCATGCGGGTGAATCGAAATTTTAGTGCGCTGTCTCGTGTATTTAAACCACAATCTCTCTCCCTCTCCCTCGCTGCCTCTTCCCTTTCTTTTCTCATGCACATTTTCTGTTCTTTCTTTCTTGCTCGGCTACTTTCCTTTTGTCCATCCATCTCACGCATAACAGCAAGCAAAGCGAAGAGTATACTGTCGTTATCTCTCCAAGACAAACTTGCGGAGTTTGTCAAGCTACCTCGGCTACCTTGATTGTTTGCCGTTCCCTTCTCTCACGAAAGACCGTCTTTGTGTGGGTACACAACGCAGAAGATCACCCACCAACTTATTCTTTGAGACAAGGTATAGTTGTGTAAATTCCCTGTTCACTTGACCCTAGCGACTGAGCTTCCTCACTTTTCCCCGTCTTGAGTCTATATATCTCAATCAATCATTTCAGACCGGTCGCATCAGACCATCTCATCCTACCTCAGCCCGTCGACACGATGCCCCCCCCTTTACATCATTTGCCATCTTATGTCTATATATAACTTAAATTATCATTCTGACCTGCCACATCAGCACACCTTCTTATCCTACCTCACCTCGTCGGCACGATGGGCTTCTCGTCGCAACATCGAGACTTACAACTCCTCGCCGTGCCCTCGCTGCCGCCATGCTCCCTTCGTGGCAGCCAACCCAACTTCCTGGACCTGCCCCGGAGCATCCGCGGCCGCATCTACGGGTCCCTGTTCCACGACTCCGCACCCCAAGAGCAAGACCCGGACTTCGACCTGACCACCCCACCCCACGTCCCCGTCGCGGATTGTTACAAGGGCTGGAATTCCGGGGCTTGAACAATCAGCTGCCGGGGGAACCGGCAAAACCAAATGTATCAATAAGAATAATCTTCAATGGCCTCGAGAAGTCCATGAAGAGAGAAAGAGAAGTTCTGGAGCTATCTGACATTCTCGCGAGATTCGCTTCTTAACCCCCGTCCCGGAGTACTTCGTCCGTCAGCAAGCCGGGGAACTTGGGTGGCGAGTGGAGGGTAACGCGATTGACGGCGCCAGGGGCCTTCCCTTAGCCCTTTCGTCGGGAAGCTAGTTAACCCAACCTATCCTGAAGAGGCTAACTGGGTTCAGGATGGGAATGAACTGGTTGATCAAGGGCTCGATAGGCCAACAAAAAGTGAATGGGATGAGACCCAGGCCGTGGAGGCTTCTCGCGACGACACCGGCCCGAGGTTGCACTTCTTCGACCTCCCGCTGGAGGTCCGTAACATGATTTACGACGAGGTCTGCCGCGCCTGGGAGTTTAAGGCGTACTAGCCTGATCAGCCGGCACGTTGGAGTCAGGCTCTCGGCCTTTTCCTCGTATGCAAGCAGATCTGGGAGGAAGCTTCGCCATACCTCGCCAAAACCATTCGGGTTTCGGGAGGGTCACCGCTTGGCGATATCGAGAGAGTCGGTCCCCGAATCAGCTCTACCAGGGTTGTGGACCTATACTTCTCATGCTTCTGCCCCCATGGCCCCAAGAATCTGCGCCTCAACAACGAGACTATCTTTGCCCGAGCATATGCAGAGCTACAAGGATGAGTGGACGGAGGTTATAAACCGGATCCGATCGCAACCTAACATCAGAGAGGTATCGGTAACATTCCTTTCATGTTGTCGCGGGTCAGCGGTCTACGACACCTGGATGCCGTGGTCTTGGCCAGGGGAGGATATCAGGCTTCTTCAGTCCTCCTGCCTGGCCCTCGAGGAGCACTTCATCTCCCTCCTGGCGACCTGCCACGGGGTCCGTGAAGTCACCCTCCGCGGAAACGTCCCACCCAGTCTTGGTGCACGACTCGAGCAGGCAGACACGGGCCTAAGTATCCGACTGCAGGCCATCAGCAAACAAATGTCCGCCTTCATTAAGGGGGTCGAGAAGGAGACAGCGGAGAAGAATGCGGATGCGCAGGACCCGTCCTGGACGAAGCAGACGCCATACCTGCCACTACGTTACCACCCGGCAAGGAACTCTTCTCTGCACTTTGTGCTGAAACAGACCGGGCCAGAAATCCCAACCTGGTCCTATATGCAGGAGAGAAACGAAGAAGCCGGGGTAGCGACGGGGATGGAACGTGTCTCTGGGCCACTGTTTGTTGGGACGTGGGAAACGGTTTCAGAGGTCTTCGACTTCGAGAACACCGTCGCCAAGGAGGATGACTCGTAGCGATCTGGTGCTTAATAATAATATAATAATATAATAGTAATAGTTAGTATCTAATATCACATGCATTAATTTCTCCCTGAAAACCGACTGCGGCCTTCAGACGTACCCTTACAACACCCATCATCCCCTACGAGTGGGCGTTCAAGGACTGGATCGAGATCCCCTTTTTGCCTTCATGTTGCTCGAACCAGCCCAGTAGTTTCCTGTGACCCCCCAATGTTGGCAAGCCTTCCCAGTGTCTCTTTTTTTTCTATACCTTACCGAATCCAGGTGAATGATCGGAACTCTTGTTGAAAATCAACCTCGCTTTTAGTTCAACTGTAATCAACCAACAACCAAGCAAATTGTTGGACGATGCCTATCACAAGCCCCCTATATCGGTAGGGAAACATCTATACATCAAAACGCACCTAAATAATCTCCCAAGCACCCAATCTCCATCACCCAGCCCCATCCGCAACCAAACCATCAACCCCCTCACTGCCATCTCTTCCATCCATCCCACACCCTCCTCTTCACAGTCCCAACCCCTCCACGGCCTCCCTCACCACTTCCCTTTTTAACAATTCCTTCGTTTTCAGTGCCCTCGGCCTTCGGCTTCTTGCGAGGCTGGATGCAGACCACCCGTGTAAGTCGACCAACATCCCCAGACCACCAGGAATTTCC